TTTTCAAGATGCAATTTTCTAGAGTCTTCCGATTAATATTATTTAATGAGTCATTATGACTCTTTTCTTTCGTACATTCATAGCCGCACGCGTATGATATTTATAACAAATGTAACAATTACAATATATAATTATATATATATATGTTATAAACTTAATAATTTATATAATAATGGTACTATAGTGTATCTTATAATTTACATACCCTATACTCTATTACAATATTAACACAGTATAAATATTATTTGTATCATTGTACTCTCTTCCCTCCCCTCTCTCTCTTTCTCTCTCTCTCTCTCTCTGTTTAAATTATGGAGAAGTGAATCATATAATCTATATCATATAGCAATATGTCTTAAAAGAAATCTCTTTTATAGTTCAAGTTATGGACAATAAAAAAACAAGAATGTGATAGAAAGAGAAAAAAGTAAAAAATGATTTGATAACATTTAATTTTATGTGATTTTTGTGCAAGTTTAATAAACAATAATAAGATTTCTAATAACTTATTTATGATCAATATTATTAACGCTATCAATTCTAACTTGTATCAATCAGAAACTTACGATCGTGAATCCGCCAAGTCATTTGCGTACTTTATTAATATGTATCATGTGTACGAACGTGTGATATATTGATCAACAGGCTTCATTTGCATCTGCAACAAACATGGAGTCTTAGTCGTATGTCTCGCATCTTTTAATAACCCGACATTTCCATTCATCCAGCATCCATTTTATTTCTTGCGTTTCTACGTAATCGATGGCTTCGCAATTCATATGTCGCAGGCGGATTCAATGTAATTTTTATAAGATATTTCAAGACATTTGTCGAATTTTTCGACGAATTTTTTGAATAAATTTTATTCAGTACATATCAATAAATCTATTCAGTACAGGAAAATTCTTTGTCCTCCTGTGCTGAATAGATTGTGATAACTATAGTTCGTAATTATAATTGTTTTCTTTAACTACTTCCCTCTAATAATAAATTTTCAAATACATTACTTTTCCTTGATGATACGGGTTCGAAAATATCAAAATGTACTATCAGTTTCTATCATAAATAATTACTTTTCAGTTATTTTTGTTTTTATGTCTTAATCATACGAAAAAAAGATTAAATTATTTAGTTTTATACTTAATAGGTATCGTCAAATATATTATATTCGATAATTTTTTTTTCGATCTTGCAACCAATGCTAAAATTATCAAACGTATTGATACAGATTGATTTCAGTTTGAACAAGTGTTTTACGATAGTTTACCGAATATCTTATTGAATGTTAAGAGAAAATTGGTCGGGTTATACACATTAATGCATATACATTTATTTTGCTATAGTTCAGTATTTTCTGTCTTTAATTCTACCTGTAAGTGAAATTTTATTTCACGTCTTTTTGTACGCGAAAATTACAATCGTGAGAAAAAAATGGAAGTATAACATTGCTAAATAAACGTATATGTGTGTAAAAATATATATTTTTATGATGGAGAAAATATTTTTTGTGAATATTTTATCTATTATACAAATTATGATAGAAAAACACATTGTTTTCTTTAACGTAGCGACGTCAAGCTTACAAAACGATGAAAATTTTTTCCTTGAGATTTTCGAGATTTCAACAGTTATCGGTATTCTACCGTTTCTGTAACACTTTAGATAATTATTGATAATAATACGTACGAGAGCATAGTACCTACTCTTTCAAACAAATCCAGTAACCCAGTATTTCAACCGTTTCAGTAAATTTACTTTTTGTTTATTCTTCCATGTATTATTCTTCCATTGCTTCGCATTTGTTATTTAATTGCACGTAAAATGCTTTCTCGCTTTGTAATTTTTCTAACAATTTAAAAAATCATTTGATGAAACGTTAAGTGTCTTTTCTTTGTTTAATCTTTTGAAATGTTTTAAAATTATATTTAAGTTGTCACATTACATCTTTCTTTGAATAAAAAACCTAAGTTACTATATCTGCGCAAATGAATATTTATTCGTAAATAAATTTAGCAGTCGCAGCCATCTTTAAGAAGTATGTTAATGTTCATTATGAATATCAATCTACTGCAGTTGCTAGTATAAAGAGCTATTGATACAACCATCGTATACGCCCATTGCGAATAATATCGAGTGATTGTTGTTTTTATTTACTCACATAAATTGTATTGTTTTTCGTAAATGTAATTAAAGTTTTTTTAAATTAATTGATTCATCTCATTATTTAATCTCATAAAAATATTAGTTATCGAGAAAAAATATTTAACAAAGTATTTTATATTTTATATACGTCAAATTACGTTAGAATAAAATATTTTGTAGATAATTATTTATTTATAATTTTATTTTAATACTATTATATAATCGGGAGTCTTAAAATATATGTAAGAAGAATTATGTGTATAGTAATAAAATGATATGTAAGATAAGATTATTATAATATTAATTTCTTTTAAATAAAAATAAAAAATGTTGCGTTATTTTTGTGTCATCTATATATATAGTCCACTCGTTAAAGCCGTGCTGGTGCGACGACCAGTTTGGAACTCGCTTTCACAAATATTGCTATGACGACACCTGCATATAAATGCAGGGATCGTCCGTCGTTTCTTCGGATTTTCGTTTTAATATTTAAATGTAGCCATACGGATGGCCGAAAGGTAGATAGGTTAGAAAGCAAGAGAGAAAACAAAATATGCGCGCCCACTACATAAACGTCGCTTTCAATGTAAAACGCAATAAAAAAACTTCAAAATGTAAAAGATCATGCTTTCTCATAATTCTCGCATAAGAAATTAGCTTCTACGATATTTCGATTTCACAAACAGTAATTCGATATTTATTAATTAATATATATTTATTAATTTTATTAATATAAAATTATTTTATTCATAAAAAGATAAAGATAGATAAAACATAAATAAACATTACTATTTAAAGATATATTATACTTACAAGATGTAATTTTTTCATTAATTTTTTCTTTAAAAAAATTCTTTTTTAGTAATTTCGGCAAGGTCCACATCCCAAGTCGGATGCCCAGCGAATAAAAGAAGAAGAAGGAATGCAAGAAAATGTTATTGAAAAAAAAAAGAAATCAAAGATCGCTCTTCACAAGACATCAAGATGGCTGCCGGCGGATGGAGTATCTGTTCACATCTTACCGGGCAGCATTAGATTGAAGTTGATGGTTCTAATACTGTCAGGTAAAGATGTCGTCAGGATTCCGAAGACGACGATTGAAACAAAAAATTTATCAACGCATGAAAGCAATTTTATATCCTCGATATAGAGTGTCAAATGTTACGACGTTACAATTTTTTTCATTTTTCTTTTCATCATCACGTTTTATGAGAAATTTTCGCATATGTATTTCTCTATGTATATAAATAAATTAATACGAACCTTTTATTAATATGAACAAAGGTCAATATAGTGTGCGTGAATTTGTATGTATGAATAAAATGTACAACTTGTGTAAAGAATCTTTTTATATCAATGTTTGCAGATAATAAATTTACGTGACTAAGAAATTTCTACGATAGTTGAAGATTTTTACCGTCATAATTTCGTAAACTTTTCATGTTAAGGTGTATAAATATCTTTCGTTTCCATATGACATATTTAATAATAAACAATCATATTTCATGAAATCTTATCAGATCATGATTGGTATGAGAATATGTTTACTCTTCTTTCTCGTATAGTCGAAATAAAGTCAAATCTTTTATTTTTATTTTTATATACTGAAATTGAAGAATACATTTAATGTGAATATATCAATATGTAATTAATGTAAAAAATCGTATTAATATTGCTTTGTTCTTTTATCTTTATTTGACGAAGGTTACGAAATAACATTTAGTAAAACGATATAGTGGAACGATTTTCGAGTAGTAAGTAATTTAACGTGATTCTTTTGAGTTTTACTTGGTCACGCGCAAAGCCTGCTCGTTCCTCAGAGGAAGAAAGGGGAATACAAAAAGATCCAAGTCTTCATGCGAGTAGTCTATTCTAAAAATAGAGGAAACGATGTCTCTCTCTCTGAAAGTTTCTCGACGAGAGCGGATTGAAAATTCATGTATACTGAATATTTCACAAAACTATAAAAGATATCATCAAATAGAAAAGTAATTACTTCGCTAGTATAAATTATTCTTTTGATATACATAATAATAATAATAATATATTTACGATGTATTAATGTAGAATAATATACATAATAATTATGTATTATATTTTTATAATGTATAATAATATGTAATAATCTAACTTATAATATATTTTTTTAATCATATATTAAAAATCTAATTTCTTTTCAACTTTTATTATAAGAATGAATGTTGTTTATTTTTTGACGCAGCAGCTTCAAATAAAACAATATAATTTTATTTAGTAAACATTTGATTATGACATTTTTAATTAGCGTTAAATTAATTTATTTTTCAGGGGATAAAGTATCAAAAGAAAAAAAAACGATCATATACAGTTTTATGAGTTATATATATGACAATAATGTTTATAATATAAATATTTCGGTTTACATATATTTACTAGTTTAAAAAATTTTAAATACTTTTTTTTGCATTTATCACAATATAATCATAATGTTTAAAAATTACAATACTTGTGTTTTAATTTATTGTCTTATATTACGTCTTATATCCTTTGATTTGATTGCATAATACTTTGTCAATTTAAAAAAATTCAAATTTTTATGATTGTTGACAAAATTTGTCATAAAAATTACCGATTACCGGTAAAATTACCATTGACTTTACCGATCATAAATAATTCCAAAAAAATTTTAATTTTAAAATTATTATAATTCTTGGAAATGTATACTTCAGACTCGATGCTTGTCAAACAGAATTCTGATATCATTCTGAATCTTATGATGTGCACAATTAATATTATAATAATTAGTATCAATACCTAGATTATCTAGGTGGTAAATACGATGCTAGCGCCCTGAAACACCGAGTCGTCAAACTGTCGAGACCATCGAGACACCAGTCACCAACACCAAGCTCCAAGTCTGATGCGATTTTATATGCCGAGGGTATCGTGTATACATACGTATACATATACGTATGCAAATGCATACATATATATATATAAAACGATCTCTCAGCTGTTTGTCCAACTCCAAAGTAGTCCGAGACGTCAAGATCGTACCACGCGAATTTTCCACGCTGCAACGTCGTGTTTATTTTTAGTCTCGAGTGTGCCATGTCACGTCGTCGCATCAACTCATCGACAGAATTTTTGCTGCGTAACAACGTGCCACGGAATTCTTAGGAACTCGACAAGGCAACGCATAGAGACTCGCAATTTACTTGACAATAATTCTCTCGTGCGATCCATTCGCTGCGAGTATCTATGCGCCGTTGAAATTGAAAGTCAGCTGATAACTCCATTGAGGATCCAATCATGAGGAAGACTCGCGTCAGCATCTTCCGCGATATCTACTATCAGCCGTATGACGACTGCACGAGGCTGAAACTCTATTCCAGCAGCAAAGGTGATCTTTCTGAGTCGTGTAATACCTGCACAGATTTTATAAGTATACAATAGTTTGGCCAAAACTCGCAGCTGCTTTAAGTTGTATTATTCAATCTGATTTGCCAGTTTTTTTTCCTATTTTCAATTCAAGGTAAAAAGATAAATTATTATTTACCTGTATATATTTTATCTGTTATAAACTTCTAATTAGAAGTTTGCATTTATTTCAATTAGTTTATATGAATAGTTGTATTTGACAAAGTATTGATATTTTACTTTATATTTCTTGTTGTACAGCTAGCTTACAATTAATGCAACGCATGTCATTGCTGAAGAGATTGAAGGTCCACAATGGTTGTGTGAATTCTATATGTTGGAACAGCAATGGAGAATTAATACTATCTGGAAGTGATGATCAACATCTCGTTTTAACTAATGCACATAATTATGAGGTACACTTATATGCTTATAAAAGAGAAGATAAAGCTGCTATGCATTAAAAAATTTTTAATTAAAATGCTCTTTTATAAAGATTATTATCTATTAGGCAGAAGCTTAAATATGCGTATATTTTAATTAGCAGCAAAAAAGTTAAATATGTATTACGAACTCAACGATTGACATATATTGTCTGACGAAGCAATATTCCATTACTTTTCTTAATTTAAAATTTATTTGTAGACACTGTCAAAGAAGAATCTTGTGCCAAGATTATTTTTGATTTTATCCTTGGCAGTTATGTGTCTAGAAAGTTAATTATGCTTGACAATTTATAAAATATTTCTTTTAACTTTTAACACTATCCGGAAGATACAATGTATATTTCTACAAAATGTATTTGTATAAAATGTAGTGAGACGATTCAATCTCATTGTGCTTTATCTATAGAAAAGAACAATGTATTTGCTTATTTTCCTTATATCTTACTTATGTTAAATTTTCAAATTATTTCTTAATTTTAAGTGATATCAATTAGTAGTGATATCAATTAATGTATTTAATTTATCATTAAATATATATATAAAAAACTATACTATTATGTTTCTCATGTGAAAAAAGGTTTATTTTAATATAATAAGAAGGAAGTATGAAGAATAGGTTGAACAAGTTCATTAACTATGATACTAAACCTTTTCAAGGAAATATTTTGAATAGTTAATTCTAGTCAAGGTCCAACATTGACATAGATAGAGATACAGATGCTGGTGCCAAATCAGTAGGTTCTTCAGATGTACACATGGTTAATTTTACCGTTTGGTACTATCCTAGATCCACCTTACTAATTAATCATAGTGAAATGTTCATTGTGTTGCATTGTTCTTTTTTATTCGAATAACATTTCATTAAAGTTGCGTGATAATATTTTGCATACACAGTTAATAGAGGTATAATAATGACGCTAAGTTTTATCTTGTATTTGTAATATAAGATATACATATGTTGAAAAACAAATACAAATTTTGACTCTGTATCATTAAAATAGATTAATTCAAGAAATAAACTAAAAATTAAATATATTATATATATATATAATATTTTATATTGTTTTATAATAATCTTGCTTTCTATATATATTTAAGGTATTAACAGATTATAAGACAAGTCACAGGGCAAATATTTTTAGTGCCAAATTTTTGCCTAACAGTGGGGATCATCGTATTGTTTCTTGTAGTGGAGATGGCATTATTTTGTATACAGGTATAAAAATCAATAGATTATGATTGGACAAAAAAATTAATGAGATCGAATATTTTATATATGTCATCTTTTTTACTGAGCACTAATGTCGCGTTTACAGATCTGATGAGAAGAACAGAAACGTTTCATAATCAATTCACTTGTCACACCGGCACTACTTATGAAATTGCGACAATACCCGGTGAACCGCATAGTTTCTTAAGCTGTGGAGAAGACGGGACTGTGAGATGGTTTGATCTCAGGATAAAGGACAAATGTAGCACTACAAGATGTAGAGAGGTAAACATCATTCGCTATAATTTTTGCGTAATTCTTTTGAAACTATACATATACATATATACATCTGGAATGTATTTAATAAATAATTTTCTTAGGATGTACTAATCCCGTGTCAAAGAGCCGTGACCGCTTTATCTGTGAATCCTGTATTGCCTCACCAAATAGCGATCGGTTGTTCCGATAGCACTGTAAGAACATTCGACAGAAGAACTCTTGGTACACCGGCCACCGGTAATCTTTACGGGACATAACTGTATTACGTCACGGTACAATGTACCGTGATTACATGTGTGTGCATTCTTTAGGTTGGACAGACGCGGAAAGTTCAGTGAGACCACTGTGCAGTTTCACTGTCCCAGAATTCGAAGGCAATTCTTACAGGATTACGTCGTTGAGTTATAGCCCGGACGGACAAGACGTCCTTGTCAGCTACAGCAGCGATCATCTGTATTTATTCAGTATTAAAGTAACGCAATAAAATTATAATACTTATTTTTTATTTACTTTCGCAGCAATTGCTTCTATATTTTATCTAAATATATATATTTTTTCCCGAAATACTTATATTATTATTTTTACTTGTTTATATTTCTATGTGTAATTTATTTCAAAAATTTATATCCAGGATCAAGGCAGTTTACAGATGCGAAAAGATGCAACAATGGGAAAAGGAAAAGGAAAGAAGCATCCGTTAAGATCGCCTCAACCAGTTCGTCGTTTGAGACTTCGTGGCGATTGGTCCGATACTGGTCCCGATGCACGTCCAGAAAGGGAAGGAGGACGTCGCAGTGGCACAGGTAAATTGTGATTTTTCTTATCTTACTCTGTTTATATATATTTTTTGCAAAAAATTTTAATATCATATATGTCATTCATCAGAAATCGCTCAGGCAAGACCGGTATTGCATACGTCCTTGATGCAAAGAATGACGGACGTGCTCAGCAGAATGTTAAATGACCCGGCTACACGCGCTGCTCTGAGTGGTGGAGGTGAAGATAGTTTGGAAGGTGTCATCGAACAACCAGAAGTCCAAAACGTTGAGAACAATCCTGAATTGAACACAGAAAGAAGTAGCGACACGGTTGAATTGAGTGCAGAGCAAAGAAATACTTCGGAAACAAGTGGTATAGGGATACACCCTGTATATATGGTATACATTTTGATTGATTTGTATAATTCTATTAAAGTGTCGTTTTTAGAAAATCCGAGCATGCGTACTGATAGAGTTGAAAGTACAAACATGGATGAAACGATTAATACCGAGATACTTCAAACGGGAGAAATTGAACAATCTCAGGAATATAACCAATTAGGATCACCGAGTATATCGGCAGGTATGAACGATGATGTTCCTATGGAAACTGATTCTAGTCAAAGCGAACGGGTGCAAATTACTTCTATAAGATGTACAACTAGTCGTGACAGAACTGAGCATGATAATGTATGGAATCGAAATAGAAATGAGGATGAAGCCTCATGCGGGAATATAACGAGTAAACAGGAGAATATGATGGAGAATCTTCAGGATAGATTAACAACGATGCGAGATGGTTTCCTCGAACGGTAAGATATACATTTTTTATTTCGGATACATTGAGCTCACATTTTCTTTCTTTTTGAAGTATTAATATATTTTTTAACTGATGAAAACTGATGAAGTAAAGATATGTGAAAACGATTATATGAGCCGTTTATTTTGAAAGTGGCCTAAGTCCATTTGTCAATTTTTTGTTGTTGACTGTACTAGCGTGTACAACTTGAAGTTAGCTGTCATAAACAACATTTTGCGGTTAAGTATATTCAGAGTATACGATAATTTCTGACACATAAATTTTCGCAATTATTTCAATAATTAAAAACATTACTTTGAAAGTGGCCTAAGTCCAATCTATTATAATGTGGAAATCATAGACCACAAATTTTTAGTATTAGGACATTCATTTTTACCGAATGATAGAGATTTTGGCGTCGTAGAAATGTCATTAAAGAAAAATAATTTACTGTTTGTCCCCCAAGATTATTATAATGTTATCAAAAAGTGCCGGAAAGGTAATAACTTTATTCTAAATGAAATGAAACAAGAGGATTTCATATCAACAAGATTTTTGGAGGACGCAGTTTTTAAAAGGGTAAAGAATTCTAACGGAGAAACAATAAATTGGTTAAAAATATGCTGGATGCGTTTTTTGAGAAATGAACCATATAAAATTTTCTATAAGATATCAATGGATGAGAATGCAGAGTTTAAAATCCTGGATTTATTACCACGTCGGGGTAGACCAAGAAAATTCGAAAATATTGTATTGACACCACTTTATAAAAATATAAGACAAATTTCAACAGCGAAATAAGGACATGATGGACTTACTACGATATATACTACCGGAGCACCATGACTTCTTCAAATCCCTCCCGCATACACAAAATGTAGATGAGCAGTAAATTGTTATGTAATTTATATAGTTAGAAGATTTCCTGAATTGCATAAATTGTGTTTTTGAAGTGTTGTAAAGAAATAATATAAAATAAATTGAGTATTGTTTTTTCAATTTGAAGCATTTTAAATTGTCGAATGGACTTGGGCTCTTTCAAATTTTATAACAAATCTAGTTGTTAATTTTGAAAGTGGCTTAACTCCATTTGTAGTAAGAAAACACATATTATTCACTTAATAATTGCTATTATTTTAATAGGAATTGTAAATTTAACTCTCTTAGATACACTTAAGCAGTGTGACATGTTGGTATCCTATACGTATATTTTTAATTTTATTGAAACGCAAACTCTTAAATATCTCAATTTAAAAATAAATGGACTTAGGTCACTTTCAAAATAAACGGCTCATATCTATTTAATATATTATTTAATGTATAGACATGGCAGTGAACCTGCTGTGAGTTTAACATATTCTGACAAAAGTTCAACTAATGCCACGATATCACTTGGTGTTGGCGACGAAATGACTCGTGACAGTTACCATCCAGGTGAGTAATTGAAATCATTACTTACTTCAAATACATACATATCTGAACTGACTTTATACAACAATTCATTTATTAGGACCATCTGGAAGTAGCGATGGAACTCTTGATGCAGGTCCGAGCAGTAATCGCAACCATCATTACAATGACAGTAAGTGTCATTATTGTTTAGTCGCTCTCTTAAAAAATTCTTTTAAATCGCTTTGTAAATTTTGTAATTATAATTACACACACACACACACGTGCGCGCGCGCGCACACATATGTATATGTATATTTGTTTATACACAATATTTTTGTAGAAACTAAAGAAGATGTGTATATTGATAGCGATGATGAAGATATCCAATCTGATGAAAGGTCTGTTGAACATTATGAAGATTTTACTCAAGTTACTTGCGCATCTTTGAATATTTTTATACATGATATCTGTTTTCCTTTGTTTTTTTTAATTGCTATTTCTTCATCTTTAACAATAACTTTGAGATTTTTACAGATTATTAAATCCAGTCGAGGAAATGGATGAAGCAATTGCCAATGCTCGTTCATCACAAGGACACGAAACGTTCGATGATGCTTGTCTAACGGAACTCCGCGTCAAACGAAAATATATGGGACATAGGAATGCCAGGTTTGATCTATTTTTAACTCTATACTCGTAATATTCACCAAATTCAATCGTTAATGAGAGCGATACACACTCTCAAGTATATGTTCTTGAATTCGTGTGAGTGATTTTTGTATAGAAATTATTTAAAAATGAGGTCCATTTTTTAAAATTGTTAGTGTAGTCATTGAATTAACACAATATTAAGTAATTACATTAAGCAACTGACAAGAAATGATGTCTTTGTGATGCCGATTATTATAGTTTCTAATTAGTATATACACTAATCTACTTGGAGAGTTTGATCGCTGCCACCTTAAGTGACGATAACTTTAACTGAATCCTCGTCTAATCAGAATGTACAAATATATAAACGTCTGAAAGATCGGAAGCCAAATCATTGACCCGAGTAGTTCCGAAAAAGCCTCCGAGCGGACTGGGCGGACTGTGCAATATTAAAGCCGCCGAATTATCTCTGACTATTTGCCTTTCCCCCACTTTTGACTCTAGTTTCTTTAGGACCATGATCAAGGAAGCGAATTTCTGGGGCAACGATTTCGTCATGTCGGGTAGCGATTGCGGTCACGTGTTCGTGTGGGAAAGAGACACTGCAAAGTTGTGTATGCTGTTGGAAGCAGATCAGCACGTGGTCAATTGCCTGCAACCGCATCCGTATCTTCCAATGCTGGCTACTTCTGGCATTGATTACGATGTTAAATTGTGGGCGCCGATCAACGACGAACCAAACTTTGACGAAAAGTTTGCAGAAGACGTACGTTGTTTATTTTGAATGAAATAGGTGTGTGTGTGTGTGCGTGTGCGTGTGCGCGTGTGTGTGTGTGTGTGTGTGTATACACATATACCAATGTAGAATAACCAAAATAGAATAGACTTGAAATTTGACGTTTTATTTTATTTTCAGCTGAAAAAGAGAAACGCAGTTATGTTGGAAGAGACCAAAGATACAATTACTGTACCAGCGGTTTTTATGATCAGAATGTTGGCATGTCTCAATCAGATACGCAGAGGTAGTGAAAATTTATAATAATATTCTCCTTACAGAATCTCTTTGTTATAATTTGCTATACTAATATGTACAGGAATATATAAGTAGGAAAAATAAATCTGAGATTTTTTCGGAGTCTTCCATTGTTGTGCGCAGGTATTAGAGTACATGGTGATTGAATTGGCTAATGTAAAGTTTTATCTAAATTTTATTGCATTGGGTGTGTTCTTACTCAAATTTTTTAACCAAAATATCAGTTTATTTTGACAAAATCTATCTTTCTTTTTTTCCAATGTGCGACCCAATATTTAACTGATATTTTAAGCATTTCTGTATTCCTAAGTGTCTTGTATAAAATCATAAATTATTTTAATGTCTACTCATTTTATTATTAACGTTACCGTTTCGCATTTGATTTTAGAGTTGTTCAAAATACACAAATGATTTCATAACGTTTATTTCTCTTTTTCTTCTTTTTGTTGAAATTTCATTTATTTAGATTTGCTTCATTTTATGTGCAATACTTTTTAGAGATGTTACGCTATTTGTTAATTGTATTGTAAATATATCTCGAACCATTCGTACTATGCATATATTTAGATCCAATATTCTTAAAATATATCTCTAATTAATACATTATATCAAAACGAAACTTACATTTGATTTACTGCCATCATTAAAATAGGAACCAATATATTAAAATGCTGTAATTCTTTTATCTCACTCAGGGCCGTTATTATTATTGTATATGAGCAACAAATTCGAAATTTACGAAGTTTGTTGAATAATTACATAATGTAAAGTCACGCTACTGCGTGCATCTCAAAACTGCGAGAAATAAAATTTTTGTTTATTTAATTGGCGAAAAGTTTTTGATATTTTATGCAATGATAAATGTTATAATCCCGAATTCTCTCTTTTTTTATTAAGATTATAAAAAATAGTTTATGTATATAATAAAAAGGATAATCTTACCGAGTTATATACATATATTTCTAAATTTTGAATACATATACATATCATTGAAAAAATTATTTTAAGAAATTTTGAAAGAAATAATATAATTTGTCACGGATACTATTGCACGTTAACAATTATAGAAATCTACAAGAAATATTTGTAAGATTTATTCTCATATATATATATATATTCTATAAACAAATTTATAGATATTTAGTACGAATAATATTTTTTAGTTTGTATTTATATAACGCATAGAGAGAGAATATTATGTACATGCACAATATTCTATATTGTATAAATATTCATATATATATATATATATACACATATATTTTTATTATGTCTATTTTTTTTCAAATTTACGAGTTTTTGTTATATTATTGTTTTTAGTGATAGATAATTAAAAGACAAAAAAATGAATAATTTCAAAAAATTAAATAATTATTATCTTTCTCGTTTTAGAACTAATGTATTCAAAGCTATGATTTTGCATATCCGTTCTTGTTTATTGAAACGGATAATCCAAATGTTATCGAACGAAATTTATGATGCGATGACCGTGTTTTACTGATTATTATGTCTGACATGAAAATTATACGAACTATGTCGATTGTTTTGTAGGTCGAGGTCGCAACAGGAGACGGAGCAGCGACGAGGGTGGCGATTTACGAGGTGGTTGAGTCGTCTTCGACGTACTGCAAGTAATAATAAGCGATAATAATAAAACGAAACTCGCGTATCGATTGAAACTGTGACTATATGATAATCCTTTATTTACCGATCAAATCAATAAATATGGAAGATCCTGATCGGCATGAACAGATCTCGTGATACCTTAAGTCCAATTCGAACGGTATTTTGGTGTAAAGATACATTTATAAAATATCCGATGGCATTGCGAATATTATATTACGTATTCATATATATCTTGCGCTTATAATAAAATACCAAATTGAAATGGATTTAATCAGTACTCGATTCCTCGAATAGCGAAGTTTATATCTTTTCTTTATCTTATGTACAATTATATTTATATAGTGGATTTATATTTTTAGTATATCGAAAAAAAGGAATTTCGATCTCTGTATATACTTTACATTTAATATTATTACATGATTATCACGAAGTATGATAGTATCTATCAATATTTATCCAAGTTATATATCATTCATATATTTTGCAAAGATATTGTTGTCGATGAAATGTATAAGCAGTGCAAAATAAGCATTCTCTAACTGCTAAACTAGTTGAAAGTTTGCAATAAAAGACGTTTCGTCTGTTTATAAATATTTTTTCATATTATTAGATGACAATCGCCTGTGCATGCTTAATCATGTTAACGATGTTAAATATTTTTTATGACAAGGAAAAATATCCACTTGTGCAATCAGAGATTGTTGAGATTTCAAATTCTTATGTCTTGTTTTTACATGCGTAGTACTTTAATTTATTATTTTAACTATTAAAATCTCTTACGAATATTTTCTATATGTGTCCAAATTAAAATAGTTTTCGTAAAACTTAGTAGAATTATATTTCATGTGCGAGAGAGAGAGGACAAATACATAGTACTGGGTTATAGCTTAATATGATCAAGAGAGACGTTTTATTTTCTTCTGTTGTTACTGCAGGCACAAATATCTTGTAAATTGCACGGTCAACTTTTAACATCCGTTCTGTACGTTATTAATTTACATTTATCATCGAGATTCAAGGAATAATAATAATGATGAATGAGAAGTGACAGTAATACAGTTTGATCCCGTAGAAAAGGACAATGCGATTCTAATGTTATTAGGACATGAAAATTTTTGTCGTAAGGCGAACCGTAACACGTGCCTTACAGGTTTTTTAGTTAAAGCAATGAAGTATTGATAATAGTAATCGTGTCTACTTGAGATATAGGCAGATTTATGAAAAACACTAAGGGTTTTAGAAATCGACTATCGATGATAATCGTGTTGCGACGCCGCATCTTGCGTAGCATCGCCGCTTGTGCAATTTTATTAATCGTTAGACGATAGTCATATTGGTAGAATATGATTAACGATCGTTAGATGAGCAACATGTAAGAATGAACGACATGTCTTTACAATTATGTATTGTTAAGAGGAGCTTGTTTATAATAAAAGTGTAAACGAACGCATAATATAATAGCAATATCGTTATTCTCGTTAATCCCATCAGCGTCGATCTTTTTTATTTACGCGCTAAACGTTACGTATAATAATTGAACAAAAACTCTCTCTCCCTCTCTCTCTGTTTAGGATTTTGATAAAGAATTCTAAAAGTAATGTCGTTTACGGTGCACGTGTAACAATGTACAGTGCAATAAAATTATTCTCATGACTTATAACACACACACACACACACACACACACACACACACACACACACACACACACACACATATATATACATACAACACTTGATCAAGATTGAATTAGGATTGTCAAGGATCTCGCGGGCGCGCGAACATGAAAAAATTCTTGCACTGTAAAATCAAGTTGACAGCGAATGTGTAGCAACGCTGAAACACGCCGAGATACCTAATTCTTTATTTCAACATCTCGAATTAACGATATGGAAGAGAGATAAGAACGGGAAGTGAAATAACTAAACACAACAAATGTACAAAATTAAACCATACGTTCAACAACAGAATCTAATTTAATAACAAAATATGAACGCATTTATAATAAATCAATCGTATAGTAACAATAAAATCGATAATGATAAAATAATGATCGTAATATTAATGCTAAATATGATTACTATACGAAATGCTCGACGAAATGTAAATGTATCCAAACAATAGCGATTATAGTAAAAACGTATAACAAAGACATCGCACGTTTACGCGCTGTTATTTTGAATTATAAAAGAGTGCCTAATCAGATGACTAATTGAATTTATCGAGGGCTCGATGGAATTTTCATCTTCTCCAATTTGCCTTTTCAACAAACACTTCTTTCATTTAAATTTTATCAAACATATTACAACTTTCGTTGAATATAAATCTGTTTGTAATCGTTACGACGTACATAAATGTCTATCAAATTTTAATGACTCGATTATATTATTAGTGCAGAGTCAATCACTGATAAGCGAAGCAAAAAGACACAATCGATATGCACAATACATAAAATATCAAGAATGCGCACGGCGCGATTAAGAAATACATCTCGTATCCCAAACAATTCGCGAAGCCAATCTCGTTCGTAAATCTTGTCACTAAGAACTATAAACTATAAACTATAAAAAATTAACAATAAGGATTTCTAAAGATCTTAAGTATATGTATAGTATATACATATACATATAACATCCCATAACATTGATGTATATGAAATCTGTAAAAGGATAATACGCATTCCACATTTTCATTTGTAACAAGGCAAAATTGCAATAGTACAAGTTGGAATTTTTCGCAATATTGCTTACAGTCGAGAAAATCAAAACGAATTCAAGTCTCAAGCAGAAGAATTGAAATTTACGTTTAGAAATTAATTTCATGGATAATAAGTAGATTTGTTCGTGTTGCTCGAAATCTTCAAAATTTTTTGCACTTAAAATAAGATAAATATACTTTAAGATAAATATATTTTCAGACGTTGTGGAGAGGGAAAAAACAAAGATTCTGAGCGCAAAAAGTGCAAGCACCACGAACAGACATATTATATTAAGAATTATGTAATTTCAATTCTCGGAGAGAACGAAAACAGAACATGAGATAATAGAAAATCTTCGATCGGGAAGCGACGTGCACGCGTAGAACATGCATATGGATTGACTGTGGGCGTGGCTCTGTGTATGTGTGTATGTACCATGTATGTTTCTTTCGCTTTTATTTCTCTCAATATATTAGGACAAAATTTTAATCGATCGCTTATCCGTTTATCTGTAGATTTAATAATGTCTGTAATAATGAAATTTAGTGCGATACATTAAATTTACTGATGAGAGAGAAAGAAGGAGAGGAGAGAGGAATGAAGGAAGGAGGAGGAAGAGGGAGGGGGGAGAGAGAGAGAGAGAGCAGGAAAGGGGGAGGACAGAATCAATAATCTTTTGTATAACCCGACATTTCGCCCAGCTGAGTTTTTTCTGCAAAAAAAATAGGTAAACTGAAAGAGGATGAAAGAAATTAAGCCTTATGAAATCGAACAAAAATTCATATTTTTTAAGATAGATATAAAACTAAAAGGTTTCTTCAATAAAATTGGAGGACCATTCTCTTTCGTCAGTTTCAACATTCGAGAATACGCGAATATTCATGAACTTTCGTAGAAATTTTTCGATTTTATCATTTATTATAGGATCGCGTTTTATTCGATCACTTTGCCACATCGTCGCAGGTCTTCCTAAAACGCAACAATGATCGCGAAAAATGTGATGCGTTGAAAGTCCCTTACAAATATTCGCTTTCAAGATATTTCGCATATCCGGCCGAGACCGAATCGAGTCTTTGCATGTATAACCCAAATATGCTGTTGACTACGGTTTCTGGGTATGCGCTTCTCATTTCATTTCAGATGTAATTCTGAATTCAAATCGAGCAAATGGGATCAAGTGTGCTGTAAATAACATTAAATCTTTGCTAGTATATCGTTCACAAAAGGTACAGCGTTGATTATTACGAAGGAGGAATCATTTAATTACAAATTATCATATAATTCTAATTTAAAAAATTTGTTACACACATAAATTCTGTAAAAGAATTACGTATAAAAAGTATAATTATATACAGAAATACCACAATGAGCACTTCACTGTAATTTTCATATTATTCAAATCGAACGAAATGATTTATCGTATTAATTGAGAACTGAGAACTTGATCCCATTTTTCTTGCTGATTCCAAAAATGTAGAATAGTAGCGATATTAAATCGAGCACGATCATTTCGCGATTTCCGTGTATGTGTGAGTGATTATTTCAAGTTTTACACACTTAGCTTGTTTAATTCAATCGAGAAGTGCAAAAATGGATGTTTAGTTCTAGAATCAAATCAAATCGATCACGTCACATCTAGATTTCGATAATTCTTAGACTAGATGAAAGATAAATTTCTGGATGTATAACATTCGCACATTTCCAAGAGATAATCTCAGCCAGACGTGCAAATTCTCTCTCTCTCCCTCCCTCCCTCTCTCTCTTTCTCAAAGTTTTTTTCGAAATGGATAAAACACTATTTCGGAATATAAATTCTCGCGCGCATGTGTTCTATATAAAAACTCGCTATTTCCATCCTATACTTAGTTTCTCTTTCCTCTTATTTCTTTAATATAACATTACGTTATACAAATATCGTATGCCGCGCATGGATGCTGCGGTGTTTCCTTCTTTTGCAATTTATAAGAAAGATCAACGGAAAATAGCGTTTTTTTAATTACAATCGTCAAGTGAAAAGTTTCTAGACGAAACAGTATTTTCGCCGCTTCGTTACACGCATTTACTTCTATGTCAAATAGAAATACAAATACCTGGGATTGCGGGCTTGTCATTGCTCATATCGCATGCAAAACACGCGCGCGGTTTAACGTATAAGTATATACGTATACACAGAAAGATGTAACATGCGTATATATGTATATGTGTGTATATACATATATACATATATTCATGTATATCATATATATGAGATAATAATGATAACAACGACTAATAATTAATGGTGATAATGGTAATTACAATAAATGTAATAATATTGATATTATAACCAGGATAATTGTTACAATTGTTTACAATGTCCGAAAGGAACATCACTTTCAGACTTTTCGAGGCATAATCGGATTACACGACG